AATGGGTATGAAAGATGGTACAAAAAAACTACTTCTTCGTGATGATACAATGCCTGATGGTTCCAAGCATATAATGACCTATATAGACAATGCTAATATAAAAAGGCCTAAGAGAATTAAACGAGTTTTTAAAGAAAGAGGTTTGTGGATACCAGGCCTTATAAAAAAGTGTGATACATGTAAAAAAATAAGCCTGATCCAAACAACCCAAACTGTTGTGCTTCGTGTATTCTTTCAGCTCAACCTGACTTTGCAGCTCAAAGATTATGCATAATAAATAAGTTTTTTTTTGTTAAAAAAAAAAAAAATTTAAAAACCATTACTTATATATGTTTAAATAATTTAGGTAATTGAAGATGCCGGCTACATGTGCATCTTTTACCCTAAGTTCCATTGTGAACTTAATTATATTGAGTCCGTTTGGGCTGAGGTGAAATGTTATACAAGACTTTACTGTGATTATAGTTTTAAGAGCCTTAAAAAAACAGTTCCAATAGCATTAGATTTTGTTAGTTTATTAAAAATTCACTGCTTTGCTTGCCCTTCTGAACAATTTATGAGTGCTTATAAACTTGGACTTTCTGGAAAGACTGCTGATTTTGCAGTAAAGAAGTATCATTCTCATCGTCAAATTTTAGAACAAGTTCTTGAAGAATTTGCTTATGATTAAAAGTATATATGTACAAACTATATGTGTAAATAAAAGTTGTAAAGTAATATTTTAAAGTGTATATATATTTCAATAAACTGTTATTTTAAAAGCAAAAAAAAGTTAGGGTTAGATTTTACACGTAAAGTAAAAATCGTTCAAGGAAAAAGCATCAATGATCGTATATATACAAAATTCTGAAATCTGATTTGTGCAGAATATCTGCACCACAAGATCTAATTTTGATGAAATTTCGATCTTAATCTAAGACTACAAAATTAATTTTTCTTTTTGCATTACCTGCTGACCCAACTTTTTAAAATTCAATTTTTTTTATAATAACAATGAATTCAATTCAAAAAAAAAAATTATTTAATCAAAATATAAAGATATATAATAATTACTAATTCAGAACGTAGAGTAGTATCAGAACATAACCAAGACACCAAATTTCAATATCATCTATCTCAGTACCATCTTAGTAATATTCTTGACTTCCGACATTGTTCTGCATTTAATTTTTTGGGCCAGACCATGACTAGAGGATCTATTAGAACAAGAAAAAACAAGATTTATACGAATACTAACCAACACTCTTTATCATTTTTATTTTTCTTTCTACTATTATTTATTCTATGTGTGATGATCTCATTACTATTATTATTGAATTCAATATTATCTTTATTGGTAAGTTTTGATAATAACTGGATGTCTTATGCTTATTTATTTTAGCTCCAATTCTATTTTCATGCAAAATCTACCGACTATATAGGTGACAAAAAAGTATGTGGATTAGTTAGTATTAACGTTCGATAGGACATTGAAGTGTACCATTGTTTACTGTAAAAAAAAAAAAAACCAAAAAAGTCACATGTAAAGAACTTACTAGCTGTAGAAGTGACAAAAAAGTATGTGGATTAGTAATAAATTTTGAAGCCTAAAATTTACAAATGTACATTTCACTTCTGCACTTA